GAGTTCCAACCCCCCCTGCAATCTCAGGGACACCCCCCTCTGCACCAGGGCGCTCCAAGTCCCACCCAGCCTGGATTTGTGCCCACAAAGACAAACCACGACTGCCTCCTGAAAGCACGTAACAGCCGCTGAGGGCAGACACAGCACCTCTCATCATTTCACTGCTTTGTAGAGAACATTTAAAAGCAGAGCACTCGCGCACAGCCAGCAAAGCACCTTCCAGGTCTCCTGACATCTCAGATTTAATGCTGTCTGTTACGTCCTTGTCAGCAATGCCTCATTACCATCAAAAACTAGGGGGAAGAATCCATAGCAGAAAGTCAGAGAGATTCAAAGGATCACTCTGCAACAATACTATACTGCATGAGCATTCTATCACTCCTGCAGCACTGTCAGCTAAACCAGGATTGTCCCACAGAAAGAATTCATTTTCATTGCTAACAGACTTGCTAATTGGCCTACCACAGCTACTACCATTTTCAAGACCTGCTACTTTGTGCTGCCAATCAAGTTTCTTAGCTCCTCTCCCCCCTACCCCAATGGCAGTCACACCTCATGTTCTCTGCTTTCCATGCTGGAGCAGCAGCCAATTGTACTTATGTTTCTAAAGCCCCTTTCAGTCTCAGGAGGGAACAAAACAGCCCGAATGGAATGAATGGAATGGGGCTCTCTCCAGGACATCTGCTGCCTCAGAAGAGTTCACATTTACTGAACAACCTACGGAGCTCCTACAAAAGCAACACACACAGACAAGGAAGGGAAAAAAAACCCAGGACACTGTGCAGGGGTGCTGCCTCTCAGCAGGTGATCTCTGCTCTGTGTACAGAGGACGGACATAAACTGCACCTCATCTGTTCCCCATTTCTTCTCTCCTGCTCCTACAGGCACTGACACACACTGTGGATGACAAAGTGAGGCTCATGGAGAAGACTGGGCATACAGGAGATCTTTAATTCCTCAGAGCTACAGCACTGCTGGCCCGTACTTGTACTTGACCACAGGTATTTTCCAACAAGCACCAACCAGGCACAGCAACCCACAACCAAAATGTCACTGCCCCTGCCAAGCAGCCAGCCTGTCTGGAGACTCTCATTATGGTCCTGCAAACAAGACTAGAATCATTACTCCCATTTCACAGGTTGGCTTCTCTTCACCACACATCACATGCACAAGAATAGATTGGGAAGCACATTACTACACACCTGAACATCTGCTGAGCACAGCCACATACATTCCTTCATCTCTGTTTCCCTGCAAAGACACAAGGATAGAAGACTCCGTTCACCAGAGCACCTACTGGAAGCAACTCCTGGGAATTCCTCATTCAGGATCAGCTGCTGGAGATGCATAATGGAGTCCTTCAAAGGGAACAGTAGCTCACAAACACAGTGAAACACAGCTCAGGTGCGCTCTGGGCTTCCTTCTAAAAATGAGCAGCAACCCACTTTACTGGTATGTTTAAAGAAGAGCCCACAACACTGGTGCACACCCAGAGTCAGAGTCCCCTCCCTGCAGAAGCTGGGCTTGAGGAGCAGCCATGGGACACACGGGGTGAGAAAAAGCCAGCCTGGAGCTCCTCACCACTGAGTGCAGAGCTCTGCCCACAGCTCTGAAGATTCACCTCCTTTCCCCTCAGCTTGGCTCACCATTGTTAGGGACACGAGGACCCTTCAAAACATGGAAGATGTGTCAGATACGATGCCATCCTCAAGGGAGAGCCACATTCTAGCAAGAACACACACACAGCATCCATTAGGAGCTGGGCCACCACCTGGGTGCTGCCCACAACATTTGCCAGCCATAACCTGCTACATGCAGAGCTGGGCCCAGGGCTCTCAGCACCACTGCAGTGCTCCAGTCATCATCATCAGTGCTGCAGTCTCCAATTAAGAAGCACAGACAGCAAGAAACTGGCAAGAGAGCCACACGTCCTGCTGACAGACAGAATGCTCCTCCCTGTTTTATTTACACCAGTTCAGCTGCTGCTGAAATTCCAGTCTAGCTTCTCTCTGCACAAACAGCAACACCCAGGTTGGCCAGTCCGTCACACCTGAAAGCTCCCCAGACTCCTTCCTCTTCACATCTGCCTGCGCACACACACACACACACACTGACTGTCAGGCAGCAGGACAAGGCCTGGCCTGTCACACTACTTACGAAGCTCGTAGTTCTCCTTAATGCAACCAACTTCTTCATTGGTGCAAGAAGCCACAATTTCAACCAGGCAGCACCTATTCCTCTCCCTAGGGAATCACCAATTCAAGATTTAAGATAGCAGCGACTGCTCGTGACACGCAGCCAGGTTTCTTTAGGAATTCATAGTAAGACATACATAACAAAGCAGCAAGCCCTTGGCCAGAACGTAAGCCATACAAAAGGAAGATTTCCAAACCTTCACAGCCCTCCTTAGTTCATGCACATCATACATGGTGGTGGGAGTCATCATCCCAATGAGCACCCTTGTAAAATTCCCCTCAGATCTGACTTCGAGTCACCCATCAAATCCTAGAAGGCCAGGAGAGAAGAAAGGAGTTGGCAGAAAGTACGGCTTTTGAGGACAGAAGGAACTGAGCTGCTCACCACTTCTCTTCAGGCTCCAACCCTCCTTGCATCAACAACTGCTCTCAACTGAACGGGAACAAAACAACCTTGGTCAGGTAAAGTCTCTGCTTTCTCTTACGGAGACTGGGTTGTTTTCCACTTTTCACCCAAGTGACACAACCACATTCACGCATCTCTGCAGACCACCTGCCCTGCCAGGAGTGCTCTTGTAGCACTCTTGTAGGTGATCAGAACTCACTGATGTTGGGAAGCATTTAGTTTGATCAAGATGTCAATGATGGCATCTTCATCTGTGCAAGAAACAAATGGAAGCCAGGCGGGCTGCTTGCACAACAAAGTGCCCTCTGCTCCTGTGCCACCTCCAGTCCCCTACACAGCCAGCTCTCAACAGCCCCAGGACACATCCATCTGTGCACACAAAGCTGCCAGGACCCACACCACCAGAGCAGCTGCATTTCAGGACATGAAGGGCACTTCTGTTTCCACTGCCCAACGATTTTTAGGGCAGCTGTGCAGCAGAGCAATGCAAGCAGCTACGCTTCCCTCTAACAAACCACCATTTGTGGTGCAGCCATTCCCAGTGCTGGGGAAAAAAAAAAAGTTGACCTGTGGAGGAAGATCAGCTTACCAAAGCCCTTCATGGCCTTCCTGAGTGCCTGCACTTCTTGCTTAGCGCTGAAACTTGAGACCCCCTTGATTGTTGTCTAAGGCCACAAGAAAAGGATTTAGCAAAGGCAGACTTGCACCAATGCACACATAGAGTTGAATTGAAAAGAAAAAACCACAAAACATAAAAGATGTGAAAACAGAGATAGCAAACCTCCACCCACACATGTGATGTGGTATCAGGCTTCTGTCTCACGCAGCAGTCTACTCTAGTGGGACTTCCCAAGCACATCAGAAAGAAGCCACAGGGCACAACTACAGGAGAACATTTCTCCACATTGCTGCCCATTAAGTATCTAGTTTCCAGTGAAACAGCTGGACCACCTGGTATCTGTGTTCAGGCCCACCAGGCTTTCTTCCTAGCAGTTCTCCATGTCAGTCATAAAGCAGTGTGCTCCCATCACAGCCCCACTCCTGACTTGTCTTGTAGCAGATTTATTCTGCACCATTACTTTTGCTCTGTGAGGCTGCACCTAGAGAACAGTGTCCAGGTCTGGGCTCCCAGGCTAGACATACTGCAAAGAGTCCAATGGAGGGCTACCAAGATGGTGAAGGGACTGAAACACCTCTTCTATGACAAGAGGCTTGAGACAGAGGGGGCTGCTCAGCCTGAAGAAAGGGAGCTCAGAGGAATCCCACCCACAGCCATCAATCCCTGCAGGGAGGGGCAGAGAGGATGGAGCCAGGCTGCATCCAGTGGAGCCCAGTGCCAGGACCAGAGGCTGCCACCAAACATCAGGAGCACTCCTGCACTGTAAGCGCTGCAGCACTGGCACAGGGACATAGAGAGGCTGCAGCCTCTCCTCTTGGAGATCTCCAAACCCACCTGGACACGGTCCCGGGCACCACTTCAGGTGGCCCTGCTGGAGAATCACACAGGTTGGAAAAGTGACCTTAAAGATCACCGAGTCCAACCACGACCTGACCATACTACCCCAATTAACAACCTTCCTCTAAATCACGGCCCTGAGCACCATATCCAAAAGGTTTTTAAACACATTCAGGGATGGTGACTCAACCCCCTCTCTGGGCAATGCAGTGCCTAACAACCCTTACTGTACAGAAGTTTACAACCTCAACTTACCCCACGTCTGTGCGTCCTGTGGAACCCCACAGGTGTGACAATGGGCTCTGGCTTCTGGGTGCTTCTCAAAGGAAACCAGCGCACGGCGTCAGGAGCGGAGGAGGAAGCAGCCGATCCTGCCACTGACGCTGCCATCGCGCGTCCCTCCCTATGACTCCCACACCTTCCTCTTCCCAGGAAGAGGCCGGCAAGGAGCGGGGCGGAGCGGGGCGGAGCGCGGAGGGCGAGGGCGCGGGCTCAGCCTCTCTGCGGTCCCCCGCGTCCCCGCCCTCCTCTTCCCGCAGCTCCAGCCAGGGTCCGGGGCAGAGCACAGCGCGGGGCGGCGCCGCGGGCAGCCGGGCCGGGGCCATGCGGGACGCGCGCGGTGATGACGCAATGACGGTGCGACCGCGGACGGAAAGGATCCCGCGCGGAGCGCCCGCCCCATTCGGCGGACCGACCAACGGGAGAGCGAAGGAGGCGGGGCCGAGCGCCGGCTCTCCACCAATGGCGGCCGCGGATGCGGGGCCGCCGTGATGGCGCTGGCGCGAGGGCAGAGCCGCGGCGCTCCGCCGCCCCGCGTCCCCGCCGCTGCCCGCCCCGTGCCTCGGGGACGCCGGGCGATCAAGGGAAGGCGATGCGGGAGCACCGCCGCCGGCCTTGTCCGTCCCCCGCAGGAAGCGAACCGTCCTCGTTTTTGTTCTGATTGTTCGGGTGGTGCTGGTTGGGAATACGGTCAGTTCTCTGTTTATTGCTTTTATGTTAAATGATTCAATGTTTAGCGTTCGTTTTTCAGTACTTTTGTGTGCAGTCAATTCTGCAGCTCCAAAGACCCCCCCCGTCCCCGTGTCCCCCTCCGGGTAAGGACGGGGTGGCACAAACCGCCGTGTCACAGGACTGCAACCACCAGCCCCGTTCCTTCGCCCAACAGGGGACCAACAGCAGGATCCCCAACAGCGGAAACGTCAGCTCCCCTGTGCCCCGTGTATGGCTGTGAGAAGGATGGAGTAGAACATGCACAAGGCTTATGATTGCCATGACACAGGGTTGACATATTCATAAATCCCTTTCCCTTTTTCCTCTCCCTTGTCCTCTCCCTTTTCCTTTTCCTTTCCTTCCGCAAGAGAAGACGGCTGTACTCTGAGGGCAGGCGGGGGCAGGACAAGGGTCAGGAGCAAGGGCAGAACGGTTTCTTTGTTGCTCCATGGAAGGAAGGGCTGTGTTTATTGCAGGCGGATTTGCCCTGGTGTTTCTTACAAGGACTGAGGGTGGGATGAGACGTGCCCTGCAGTGGGCGTGCTTGCCAGTAGGCAAAGGAGACATGCAAATGATGCCAGTCAGTCTCTGCGCTGTACTGGGGACCCCGCCTGCGAGCAGAGCGACGTGAGAGCCCCACTGCCTTCTGCCTGTGAGCTGAACGGAAGGATTCCTGGGCTGAGATGAACCTACATCTCTGCAGCTCCTGACCTCTTGGATTTGGTGATCTGGTGCAGGGAAGCTTTTGGCCATGATTTATCATCGCCGTAGCTAACCTGCGTGGGAAAAGTTGACGTTAGATCTTGCATCCAAGCTTTGAGCACAGCTTTGACTTGCCAGTGCTTTCCATTGCCTCCACTTGTCTGGTGCCTCCCTGAAAAGTATGCCTGGTCTGGAAATCTGTTCTTATGTCCTAGCTTTTGTGCAGTAAAGGAGCTTTTGAAACGTTGCTTCTTGCAGCCGTTCAGTGTTTCAGGAGAGAGAAAAACACGGCTGGCAGAGGCTGGATTTCTGCTGTTAGTGAAGCTGAGCTTCAATTCTGAACTGACTCTTACACTGGGAACGTGAGCAAAGCCTGCAGACACAGAGGATTAGCTTTTCCCTGCAGGCCGAGCACGTCAGAGGCAGGGCATCGCTGGGAGAGCTCGTGCTTTACAGCATCAGGCTGTACAGAGAAAGTAATTCTTAAAGCAAGCTTGCCAGTTCTTTTTGAGCTGAGCGGTTGTTGAGCAAGGAAAGATTGGAGATGCTGTTTGCTCATGGAAGGCGGAGAGGCAAAAAGCAAGGAAAGGGTGTGCTGTGCACGGCCAGCTCATCGCACCTGCACCGCTCCCCTGCTCCAAGGAGGAGCAGCTCAGCGAGCTGCTGGGCCACTGAAGGGAACACAGCAACATCTGGAGCAACCCCTCCATTCCCGCCCCTCCGCACGCCTCGCCACTTTCCTGCTTTTCATGCCAGGGTGGGGCGGAGTGGCTTTCAGCTGAGCCCGGTCACGGCGCCGGCGGAACCGCCGTACCCAGCACTGGGCCGTGTGGGCGGCTGGCGGTGGTGCTGGGATGGATGGGCTGCTCTGCACTGCAGAAGGAAAGCAGCAGCCCATCCGACTCCGTGTGGCTTCCATTTAGACTGCAATAAAGGAAATATCTCACCGTAGCTCTGCGAGCCAGTTGAGTCAAAAGAAGCTCAGCACCTCAGCTTCCTGGAGCGTGGCATCTCATTTAAAATAATGGGGTTTGAAAGCTGAACAGAGTCTAGTCCAACAAGCTTATTCTCTTAGGGCGTGGTGAAGCTGAGGAAACCAACTCAGGAATGGGACACGGCACGTGTTGTGTCAAGTAGGCGATGCCTTTATTACAGCCAGGTGCGTGGGATCGCTCCACCAACACGCACAGCCAGAGAAGCAGGGACTGCAGATTTATAGGCGTAGCATGTACGTATCCATCACATTCCAAGGACATGGGGAGAAGTTCCAAGAAATAATTCAAATCTCTGGTGGTCATGAGATGAAGGCTAATAATCATCCTCGCTGACAATTTCCAACCTTTTAAGGGGGCCTGCACAAACCGGCTCCCACTGATGTTACGTCATGCTGAAGCATCCATTTTGCCATCTTGTCTCCAACAAGAGGACGTCAATTCTAAACTGATTCCAGAAATTCCATCGGAGGGAGCAGATGTTCCGGCAGACAGAACAAACTGTGATCTTCAAGGACCCTTGCGGCACAAACCGTTCTACAGTTCAATGATCACTAAGGAACATCCCAACCCATGCCATCCTGTGCCTCTCTGATCTTCCAGGACCCTTCCAACACAAACCAATCTACGGTTCTTTGATCAACAAGCAACTCCCAACGCTGGCCATCCCAACCAAGCCATCCTGTGGTTCTTAATGATCTTCCAGGACCCTTCCAACACAAACCATCCTATGGTTCTATGATCTTCCAGGACTTCCCCAACGCATCCATGCTGTGGTTCTTAATGATCTCCAAGGACCCTCCTGTGCTGGTGATGTCACAATGCCGTGCTGAGCTCACAGAGGCCCCGGGGCGGGGCGGGGGCAGTGGGTCAGCGCTCACCCTGCCGGCCCCATTCTGCGGGTGTGCAGGTCTGCGAGCAGCTGTGCGAGCGGTGCAGCCATGCGGGCCCAGTTTGCCAGCGGAAATTTAACAGCGCTGCAGCGCGTGAAGCTGCTGCAGGAGCTGATGGAGGTGAGCTCTGGGTGGGCGGGCACAGAAGGGCCGGCGGGCCGAGCTGCCGGCTGGAGGGCGCCCTGCCCGTGGCGCGGCAGCAGAGGGCCGGGCACCTCCGGCGGGATGCAGAGCTGCCGGCAGCGCCTCGGTGCCAGCGCCGCTCCTCTCTCCTCCCACAGGCTCATGAGCGGGTTGTGGAGAACCACAGAGCCGCGGCCAGGGAACTCCTGATGAAGGTGAGCGGATGCAGCGGCACGGGCCGGTGTGGGTGTGCGGGCTCAGCAGTGCTGCCGTGGGGCGTGGGGTGGGAGAAGTCCCCCCGTGCGGGGCTGCAGCTGCAGCCCTGCGGGCGCCGGGCGCCCCGATGGAGGAGGTGGGAGGGGACGGCGGCACGGAGCTCCGTGGGAGCGCCGGTGCCCTGATGGCCTCTCCTCCTTGCCCGCAGGAGTGCCGGAAAGCACGAGACGAAAGAGAGGCTGCTAGGCGAGAGCAGCTGGAGCAGGTAGGGTGGAGCGGGGGCTCGTCCTCAGAGCTCGGCGTCCTCACGGCTCTGGCTGTGAGGAGGGCCTCGGTCCCGGTCCCTTGGGTCCACGGGTCCCAGCGCAGCCATCCCACATGGCCCAGCTGTTGTCTTGCAGGAGAAGCAGCTCATCGCCCAGCTGGAAAAGCAGCTGCAGGCCGAGAGCGAGGAGATTGAGGTAGTGTGGAGGGGCGAGGGGATCGGGGCTGCCCGCCCCCAGGCTGGGGACCTGGAGGAGGGCTGCAGCGGGCACGGCGCTCACGCTTTTGTCTGCCAGGTGCTGCGCCAGGAGAAACAGCGCCTGCAAGAGGAGCTGGAGGAGCTGGAGGTGGAGAGTGTCTGGTGAGTGGGACTGGGCCCTGCAGCCCACGCCTGCACCCCGGGGTCTCTGCAGCACTAAGGGCAGCAATGGGGCTGCAGCGCCGCTGGGCTTGGGGCTCGGGTTGGGGCTCGGGTTCCGTGCGGCACGTGGCGGGACGGAGCAGCCCCATCCCAGCCCTGGGGTGGGCGCACACTGCTGGGGAGCCCCCGCAGTGACAGAGGCCGGCACCCTCCAACCAAGCCTTGTGTCCTACAGGCAGCGGCATCAGCTGGAGTTGGAGGCAGCCCCCGTGCCTGGGGCTGTGCTGCCGGAGCTGGTGAAGGCACAGCTGGTAAGGGGCAGAGCCCACCGCACCCTCACCCCGCCCACAAGGGTCTCCCCGGGGACGGGGCTCCCTGCAGCACCGGGGCTGCGCTGCTGCGCTGCCGGCTCCCGCTGTCCCACACGAGCCCCGGCCGTGCAGCAGGGCCTGACCACCGTCCCTGCCCCGTGTTCACCTACAGGAGAAGGAGGAGCGGGCGAGGAGACGAGGGCTCGCCTTCTGGATGCAGTGAGTGTCCCCTCGTTGCCCCGTGCCCAGCCGCCAGCAGCCGGGCTCCCGGCGGGGGGCTGATGGCCTGGACCCCCACTGCAGCCGGCGGGGCTCCCAAATGGCCCCTTCGGCACTGTGTGGGGCTGTGCTGCCGTGGGGGGGGACGCCTCATTCCCGGCCCCTTCTCTCTTGTGCCCCGCAGGACGATCTGCCTCATCCTGGTCTGCCTCCAGCTGCTCCTCGTTGTTGTGCTGGGCTCTGCAGTGCTGTACGCCCAGCACTTCGACCAGGAGCTCTTCTATCGGCTCCTGCCTCGAGTGCTGCCCCGGGCAACGTACGCTTCCCTGGCGTACTTTGCGAGCAGCACCCTGCGTGTGGTCTGTGATGGGCTGCTGCCCATCTGACCGCCGGGCTCGGTAGCCCCTCCCAGCTCGGGGCTGCGCGGTGGGGCGCGGGGAGAGGGCTCTGTCCCCATGGAAGGGGCCTCCCCTGTGCTCCTGCCCCCCGGGGCGCACAGGCACAGCTGTGGGGCAGTGCTGACAGGCGCCCGAGTGCCACCGCTTTGGACTTCTCAGTGAATTTCTACCGTCGTCGTGAGCCGCCGTCGGCTGAACACCACCTCCTCCGACGACCCAGCACACTGGAGGTCCGCACCTGACACCAGGACGTGGCTGGATCTACGAGCGCTTTGCTGCCTGTCCCTCTTTCCCCATTTTCTGCTTTTTGTCATCTGGTGTTCTTTGGCTCTTTGTCACAGCCATTGCCTACAGTTGTTACATCTGATGTTATTCATTGCAATCAGCCCATTGGCCAATGTTACCACCAATTGGCTGTTGCTGGCTGTTAAGAAAGCTCTCAATAAATGGTCATCTATTATTCCTCTGAGTTTGGATGACTCCGTTGCGGTAGCGGCCCTTTGCTGACCAGGGGAGGCACGACTCAGGAGATGGAAAGAGATTCCGCCCTTCAAAAGGCACCGAGTGGGACGAGACGTAGATGGGAAGAGAAACGGGATGAGCAGCGCCCCTCTGCACACAGACGTCTGCTGTGTGTCTGCACAGATCTCTTCTGCCCAGTGGAGTTTGTCCATGAAGGCTACAGCAAAGAAAAAGTGCCTCTAGAGAGGCATAGAGATGGAAGACAGGAGAAATGAAAACTAAAAGCAGAAGCCCAAGGTCAAATGGTGCCAAACAGCATAACCCCAAGAACAAGGGGCTGAACCCCTTTAGCAAAAGCCTGAAGCCAAGGCCCAAAGATTTCACCCTTTTAACAGGAAGTTGCACCCCAGTGCCAAATGCTGCACCCCTTTCACCAAATCTTAGCGCAGGACTGGTGGCTGTGGCTTTAGACCCCTGCAGAGCAGGGCAGAGCTATGGGCAGAGCAGCTTCAGGGAAGGGAAGACGGCAGTGGGCAACGGATGTGAAGTGCAAAGGGTGAAAAAAAAGCTCTTCTTCGGTTCTCTGCTCTCTGACGTGGCATCTTGGATGGGGAATGGAATAAACCCCCCACAGTTCAGGAGGAAACAGAGTCCTGTGTTCTACCTGGACTGCCACAAGTCTGTGGGGGCAGATGAGATTAATCCAACAGTGCTGGGGGAGCTGGTGGAGGTGAAAAGCCCAACTGCTTTCCATCATCTGTCAGCCCTCCTGGTCAACTGGAGATGCACTTTGGCCACAACAACACCAGGCACCGCTATGAGCGTGGGGCAGAGCAGCTGGAAGTCAGCGTAGAGCAAACAGACCTGGGGTTGACACTCAGCTGAACACGAGCCAGCAGTGTGCCCAGTGGCCAAGAGGACCATCCTGGCCTGCATCAGAAATGGTGCTGCCAGCAGAGCAGGATGTGATTGTCCCTCTGCACTGAGGCTGCAGCTCCAGCGCTGTGTCCAGCTCTGGGCCCCTCGCTGCAAGAAGGGGAGACCTCACTGCTCTGTAACTCCTGAGGGCAGCAGTGGTGAGCTGGGGGTTGGTCTCTGCTCTCACCTAACAGCGAGAGGATGAGAGGGAACGGCCTCAAGTTGCACCAGGGGAGATTCAGGCTGAACGTTAGGAAATATCAGTGCTCCAGCAGAGTGGTCGGGCTGCAATGGGCTGCACTGGCAGCAGTGGAGTCGCCGGCCCTGGAGGTGTTCAAGGAACATTGAGACGTGTTGAGGAACGCGGACTAGTGAGAGCTATGGGTGATCTCAGCCTTGGTGATTGTGTGATTCTGGGTGGGGGATTGAGGGGGACATTGGGGGGGGACGAGGATCAGAATGGGGGAACAGAAGGGGTGGGATGGGGGTTGGGGGGAAAAGGGATCCTTAGGGTATGAATAGGGGGACTCATTAGGGTGGAACGGAAGCCCCTGGTAGTCAGAATGGGGAGTTTCATGGGGGAGGGAAGGGGGGAATGGGGAAGGGATACTAGGGGTCAGAATGGGGGTCTGAGGGTTTGTCCTGGTGGGGCGAGGGGGGTTAAATAGGATCAGAATGGGGGAATAGGAAGAGTGTGACGGGATAAGGGGAGGAGGAAAGGGACCTTGGGGGTCAGAATGGGAATGTGGGGCGAACTGAAGGGAGGCAGTGAGGTGGGGGGTGGAGGAGGACTGCAGGGATCAGAATGGGGGAATTGGAGGGAGGAGGGGGCTCCAATAGCCAGGTGGGAGGCGGACCACAGAGCAGGGTATGACCCTGGGGGTCAGAAAGAGGGACTGAGGGGGTTGTTGCTGAACCACTGGGGGGGGACACAGGGCACCTCCTGCTGCCAAGCAGAGGTCCTGAGCAATACAGAAGCTCCACTGGGCCAAAGCAGAGCAGCATGCAAACCCTGGCTCCCTTAAGCCCAGTCCCCTCCTCAGTGCCCCCCCAAATACCTGTAGAAGCTGAGGTGGTGCACACTCCCCATCTGGAGTGCTGCGTCCAGCTCTAGGGCCCTCAGTACAAGAAAGACAGAGAGCTGTTGGAGGGTCCAGAGGAGCCGCAGCTGGAGCAGCTCCCTTACGAAGGCAGGCTGAGGGAGCTGGGCTCGTTCAGCCTGCAGAACAGGAGGCTGCAGGGTGACCTCATTGCAGCCTGCAGTACCTAAAGGGAGCCTACAAACAGGAGGGGAGTCAGCTCTTGGAAAGGGGAGATAACAGCAGGACAAGGGGAAATGGTTTGGAGTTGAGGGAGGGAAGACTGAGGTTGGATGTGAGGGGGAAGTTCTTGACAGAGAGCGGTGAGGTGCTGGAACAGCTGCCCAAAGAGGCTGTGATGTCCCGTCCATCCTGGAGGTGTTCAAGACCAGGTTGGATGGGGCCCTGGGCAGCCTGGGCTGGTATTGAATGTGGAGGTTGGTGGCCCTGCATGTGGTGGGGGTTGGAGCTTCGTGATCCTTGAGGTCCCTTCCAACCCGGGCCATTCTGTGGTGCTGTGATTTCTTTGTAGGAGAGGCGCTCCAGCCCTCTGATGATCTTAGCGTCCCTCCATCCGGACCCGTGGTCGCGTTCTGCATTCTTCGCTCGTTGCTCTCACGGCATGGTGCAGTGATCGCACAGCTCCGCTCAGCACAGCCGCAGCTTTCCCCGCCCGCTGCCTCCGCTACCCCGTTTTACCCCGCTTTCCATTTCTTTTCCTCATTTCCCCTCATTCTCTCTCTTTCCCTCACGGCCGCGGGGGCCGCAAGGCGCGGTGCCGCCCTGCCGCGACGCGGGGCGTGGAGCAGCGCCCGGCAACACCGCGACGGCCCCGGTGGGACAGCGAAGTCCCGCGCGGTGCTGCTCCGCCCGGTCCGGAGTTCCGGCAGGGGGCGGCGGAACGGCGCAGAACGGCACCCACGGGGGAGCGCGGCGCGGCGCGGGCGCCCCAGGAGCCCGGCGTGGAGCAGGGCGGTCGCCCCCCGCCGCCCCTCCTCGGCACCGCGCACGTGCGCTGCGCTGCTCGCCCTGCCCGCGAGCGTCGCTGCCGGTGCGTCCGTCCCGCTCTGCGTGAACCGCCGCGGTGACCCCGCGCTCCGCCGCTGCGTGCGGAGATGCGCCGCTCTGCGCGCCGCCGCCGTTATCCGCGCAGCTCCGCCCCAGCGGGCCCTCGGTGACCGCCAGAGCCCACGGACGCCCCCCGCGGCACAGCAGCTCCGTGAGCCCGCGCCGGGGTGCTGTGCTGGCGGGCGGACTCGCAAATCCGCGGATCCTCATGGACGCCCCCCACCAAAAATACCGCAATGGGAGATTCCCTACCTCCCCCCCTCCCCCCCGATCGCAATATGTACTAAAACGAAGTAGGGGAGGACCGCCAACCCCCCACCGGACCCCAATATCCGTAGGGACCCCCTAAGAAACCCCAAACGGGAGGACCGCCCCCCAGAGACCCGTTAGCTATGGGAACCACCCCCCAAGGACCCCAGAACAGGGGAGGACCCCTCCAGGGACCCCTAGGGGGACCGCTCCCACGGACCCCACCACAGAAACGATCCCAGGGGGGTGGGTGGTGAGGGTCCCATAAGAATGGATGAGGGGCTGTGGGGCTGCCCCACATTGGGTCCCAGTGGGAAGTTGCGGGATAGATGTGGGACGGCCCCCTATGCATGAGACTCAATGGGAGCTTCTGGAGCAGCTCCATGTGCAAGACCCAATGAGAAGCTGTGGGACAGAGATGGAGCAGCCCCAGAGGTGGTGCCTAAGGGAGGATATGAGGCAACCCCACGTGTGGGTCCTATGGGAAAGTGTGGAGAGCTCCACATGTGTCCCAAAAAGAAGCTGTGGGGCAGCTGTATATACATGGGTCCTACAGGAAAGCTATAGGGCAGTCCCACATGTGGATCCTATGGGATCCACCCCACAGCGCAGTCTGAGCCATAGCAAGATTCATAGCACAGCCCTGACCCAGAGAGAGAAATATGGGGGGACCTACAGAGAGATCAAGATCCACAGTGTGACCCATGGTAGGGCTGTGATCCACAGAGGAACCCATAGCAGGATCTGACCCATTGTGAGACCCATAGGGGGACTCAGACCCACAGGGGAGCTGTGACCCATAGAGGGGCCCCAAAGCAGGACACGTAAAGCATCCCATAGCAGGATGTGAACCATAGTGAGGTGTGGCCCATAGCCCCTATAGCCAGACCCACAGGGAGCCCTGACCCATACATACGCCACCTGTTGCCCCCCCTTCCCACTCCCAGCCCCACAGAATTCCTTGGCCTCATAGAACTGTGGGGCAGTGACATTTATTGCTGAAAGAGCAATGGGGCGGCTCTACAACAGGCTCCGGCCCTGCACCAAGACCCCCAACTGCCCCATATCTCCCCACAGCAGCTCTACAACACTCCCAACCCCAAAGCAATCCCAAGCCCCATACACAGCGATGCTCCCCAGCCCCACAGCTGCCTCACAGCAGCCCCACTCCTCCCCCCAGCCCCACAGCACACCCATCCCCATTGCTGCCCCCTATCTCCCCATAGCAGTCCCATGGCATTCTCCAGCCCCACAGGTAGCACCCGCACATTTCTCCATAGCAGCCCCATAGCAGCCCCATAGCGCTCCCCAGCCCCACAACCACCCCCCACCCGCCCCCCCCCCCCTCATTCTTTCTGAGCACCGGCCCCGCCGCCACCGGCCCCGCCCTCCCTCATCTCTTTGTAGCGCCGCCGGAAGAAGCCGACCTGGAGCGGAAGGGGCGGAGTCAGCGTCGACCGCTGTGGGCGGGGCCTCTCGGTAGCCCCGCCCTCCATTACCCCCGCAGAGGCTGCTCCCCGCGCAGCCCCGCTCTCACCTTACGCAGCACCGCTCCCGCCGCAGCCGCCAGCAGCAGCCCTGCCGCCACCGCGCCCAGCGTGGGGCCCAGCGGCACCGGCGGGGATGCGGGGCGGAGCTCCGTGCGGACCTGCGGGACGGGGCGGGGTCAGCCGGGGGGGGACGACCAGGGGGCTCCGAGGGGCTCTCGTGGGGCTCGGTGGGAACTATGGGGCTTCATTGGTTCTACGGGGTCTACGGGGCTCTATGAGGCTCCGGGGCATCCACGGGGTCTGTGAGGAGCTATGGGTTCTGTACGGCTCTGTGCGCCCAATGGGGCGCTATGGGGTCTACAAGGTTCTGTGGGCTCCGTCGGGTTTATGGGCGCTATAGGGTCTATAGCGTTCTAGGAGGTTTCGCGTGCTCAGCACGGCGCGTGGGGCTCTACGGACTTTTCAGGGCTCTGGAGGGCCTGCGGGGCTCCATGCGCCCCACGGGGCTCAATGGGTCCCCCCTCCCAAAGCCCCGCCCACCTCCAGGCGGTCCCGCCCCACATTGCGGTAGCGCGGCTCGGGCTGCAGCTGAACGGAGCTCTCCAGTTCCACGTGGGGGAGGGGCAGCTGCCGGGAGAGGAGGGGGGGGCACTGCGCCGCGGCCCCGCCCACAGCGCTCCCCCATGCCCACGCCCAGCCCCCCTCATCTCCCACCCCATAGCACCCCACTCCTCCCGCAGCCCCACAGCACATCCAGCCCCGTGGCTGCCCCACACCTGCCCCATAGCAGCCTCGGTCCCGCAGCACAACCCACACGATAGCGTTCTCCAGCCCCATAGTAACCCTTTTGCAACCCCACAGCACTCGCCAGCCCCACAGCTGCTACCACATCTCCCCCTAACGGCCCCATAGCACATCCCAGCCCCGCGGCAGTCCCGCATTCCCCCATATATATCTCACTTCATAAAGTTCTCCGGCCCCACAGCCACCCCGCAGCACTCCCAGACCTATGGCAGCCCCATAAACTTCCCCAGCCCCATTGCATTCTCATGACCTACAGCTGCCCCATGGCTGCCCCATGGCTGCCCCACAGCACCTCCAACCCCCCATGTCCCCATCGCGTTCCCCATCCCCAAAGCTGCCCCCCGGGGCCATGCAAAAACCCCACAGACCCCATAGATCCCAACGGCCCTTCCCACACCACCACGCAGCCCCAATACCCCACCCCACATCTCCCCGCAGCCTCATATTACATACCACATAACACCGTTCCACACCTCCCGACATCCCCACACCAAATACCGCCATATCCCCCCTACATCCTGTTGCCCCGCACCCACCTGCTGCACCCAGTTCCACCGCAGCCGCCCCTCAACGCTGAACTCCACGCCCCCGGGGGGCAGCGCGGGGCCCCACGGACAGCGCCACTCCAGGCAGGCGGCCACGCTGCAATCCTATTGGTGGAGAGCGGCCGGGGGGCGGGACCGGGGGTGGGGTTACAAAGGGGCAAAGGAACAGGGCGTGGCAAGGGGGCGGGGCGTACAGGGTGGGGTTCCGGGGGAGGGGCGGGGCCATATAGAATCGATGCGCGAGGGGAACGAGGAGCACGTCCCAGGAAGGCGGCGGGGCCAAGGGGAAGGGCGGGGCCAAGGGGAAGGGCGGGGCCAAGGGGAAGGGCGGGGCCAAGGGGAAGGGCGGGGCCAAGGGGAAGGGCGGGGCCATGCGGCAGCGGGGCGGAGCCGAGGAGGGGCAGAGTTATGGGGAGAACGCGGCTTGGAGCGGGGGCAATAAGGGGGCGCGGCCAAGAGAAGGGGGTGGGGCCATGGCGCACTCACCACCACCGGGTTCCGCAGCAGGAGAGGGGTGGGGTCCTGAACCCCCGAGGAATACGGGGCAGGCTCACAGCCCTGTGGGAGAATGGGGGGCACAGTGGGGCCAGCAGTCTGTGGGGCAGAGCCCCCAGAGCAGGTCTCATCTCTACAGGGGGACGCATTTCTATAGCAGAACTGTAGACCCTATAGCAAAACCCCAGCCCCGTAGGGAACCCCCACACCCGCAGGAAACCCCCAGCCCCACTGGGGACCCCCACACCTGGAGCAAATACCCAGCCCCATAGCGGACCCCCCCATACAGTCAGCCCCATATCGTCAGCAGCTTCCAGTCCCAAAGGGAGCTCCCAAGCCCGCAGCAGGACTCAACCCCATTAGGGAACCCCCAGCCCCATAGTGAGCCCTATGAATGTCCCAATAGCAGGCCCCGATCTCTACAGTGGGGCCCAGCCCCATAAGGAACCTCTAGACCCATGGCTGACCCCCAGCCCCAAAGGGAAACCCCCAAACCCATAGGGGAACCCCTGACACATAGAGAAATCCAGCCCTACAGCAGGACCCATACCCATAGGGGAAACCAGACCCTATAGCAAAACCCCATCCCTGTAAGTGTCACCACCCCCTAACAATCCACAGCAGAGCCCCAGCCTCATAGGAGAACTCCAGACCCATAGCAGAATCCAAACCCGTAGCAGAACTTAGCCCTACAGTGGGACTCAACCCCACAGAAGATCCCCAAAGCTACAGTGAGCCCCCATCCCCATAAGTATCTCCAGCCCCACAGAACCCCATCCCCGTAGGGCATCCCCAGACCCATAGAGGAATGCAGACCCACGGTGGAATCTGACCCCATCGTGGGACCCAGACCCATACAGAACTCCCAGCCCGTGCACCAGCAGATCCCCGTGCACCTCCAGACCCATTGCAAGACCCGGACCAGTAACAGGACCTGGCCCTGTAGCAGAACCCACCCACAGCAGGACCCAGGCCCCAGGCCAACCCCAAACCTGCCGACCCCAGGAAGGGGGTTGGGGTCTGAGACCACTGGGGAGCGGGGGGCAGAGCTGTAGCGGGGGGGGGGGGGAGGGCAGGGACAAATGGGGCCGAAAGGACGCGACGGGACAGCGGGGGCCGCGGGACGACGGGGCCCAAGGAATTCTACGGCGCCCCACGCGTCCTGCGGGGCTCTACGGGGCTACGGGGCTCCGCGGCGCGTCCCCAGGGCCCTCCGGGCCGCCCTTTGCTTCCGCGTCCCTGCCGACCCCGCCCCCACCCGCGGCCCCGCCCGAACCTGCGGCCCCACCACCCAGAGCTCCTCCCAGAGCTCCGCGCCGCGCAGCCTCGTGGGCACCCGGACGGTGGCGTTGCCGAGGGGGCGGCGCTCGCCCTGCGCCGCCAGCTGGTAGCGGTGCTGAACCGCGGTCTGTCCTGCGGGCACCGAGCGCGTGGAGGACGGAGAGCTGCGGGGAGACGGGACGGCGCGTCAGGGTGCGGCCGGGCACCGCGGGGATGCGGGGCGGCCGCGGAGATGTGGGGACGCTGGGGAACCCGCAGGGACGTCCCCTGTCCGTAGGGATGCGGCACTTTGGGTCGCGGGGACGGCCGTAGGGACGAGGGGTGACGGGGACGCCCATGGGGATGTGGGGAGGGGGGCGGCTGTGTGGGGCGAGGAGACGCGGATACGGGGCGGCGGCACCGGGGGGATGTGGGGCACGTGGGGGGCCCACCTGGTGAGCAGCAGCACAACGCTGTACAGCACTGGGAGCACGGCGCGCACCTGATGGGGGCTCACGGGTGGGGGGACGCTGCGGGGACAGCGGGACACGTGGGCTCACGTTGCATCACTGTGTCAGCCCCAGTGTCACCACCTCACCCCGCGTCACCCACTGTCAGACACACAGCACCCCATCACGTCACGCCGTGTCACGGTGCCACGCAATGTCACAGTGTCACAAAACATCACACACAGTGTCACTGTCACAACCCCACAAGGGTCACACTGTGTCACATACAGCCACCCATGTCACTCACACCGTGTCACACCACGGCACATCACTGCGTCACTAGCCGTGTCACCTCATGTCAGTGTCACGGCGTCACACGCAGTGTCACACAACATCAAAGGAACCACCCCACCAGTGTCACATAGCACAGCGTTAGCGCCACAGTCTCACACCGTGTCGCCCTCTATCAAATTCCCAATGTCACACCATGTCACACAGCTTCACGTGATGTCACCGTGTCACACTGTCACCCCGTGTCACACCACGTCACACCATGTCACGATGTCACAGCCCCACACAGCACTGCAGTGCCACCCATGGCTGTGCGGTGTCACAGTGTGATGCTGCAGTGTCACCCACCTGCTGGCCAACGCCACCACCTCCACTCTGTCCCCCAACTCAGCCTCGTGGGGCACATCCATGGTGACAACAAACACGAGCTGGGGGGTACAGGATACGGGGCTCAGCCCCATAGCACCCCATGCGGCCCCATGGAGTCCCATGGAGCTCCACAGGGCCCACAGCACCCCACAGAGACCCATAAGGCCCTATGGAGCCCCATAAAGCACACAGTGCCCCACAGAGCCCATGCAGTCTCATAGCTCCCCATGGCACCCCATGGAGCCCTTAGAGCTTCATAAACTACCATAGAGCCCACAGCACCCATAGCTCTCCATAGCACCCCACAGCATCTCATAGAGCCCCCTAGATCCCACAGCACCCCACAGCATCTCATAGAGCCCCCTAGATCCCACAGCACCCCACAGCATCTCATAGTGCCCAATAGGGCCCATAGAGCCTTGAAACACCCCACAGAGCCCTTAGAGACTCACAGACTCCCTTAGAGCCTATAGCATCCCACAGCACCCCACAGCACCCCACAGCACCCCACAGAGCCCCACAGCAGCCCACCTGCTGGCCGGCCCACAGCACAGGGTGGCTGATGTTGCAGAGGATGCGCCCACCTCCTGGAGACACTGAGCTGCAGTGCTGTGCCAGGGACCTGTGGTGGGGCTGTGGAGCACTGGGTCAGCAGTGGGGGGTGTGTGGAGGGACCTGAGGTGGGATCTGGGGGTGGGGTAAGGAGGTTTGGGGCCATCTGATTGGGGTTTGGTGTTTTGGGGACATGGGATTCTCTGTGGTCTTGAGGGCATCTGGAGAAACTCAGGGGTCTTGAGGGCCTCTGGATGGGATTGGGGTCAGCTAGATGAGGTTTGTACTCTTGAGGGCATCTGGAATGGGTTTGGGGCATGGGGGCATGCAGGAACCTATAGGAACTTGAGGAAATTTGGGGCCTTGGGGACATCTGTAGAGGCTGTGAGGATCTCGAGGGCATCTGGATGGAGATTTGGGTGCTGTAATGACATCTATGGGGTCTTGAGAACACCGGGATGGGATTCTGGGGGCCCTGAGAGCATCCGGAGGAGCTCTGGGGGGCCTGAAGGAGTGTGGGGCAGCCTCTGTGGTGCGGCGGCTCCCCCGCTCCCCGTGGGCACCTGCAGCGCGGTGGCCTTGCGGTAGGAGAGCGCCTTGGGGTGCTGCAGCTCCACGTGGGCCCCATAGGCGTCCTCCCCGATGTTCTGCACGGTGACGGTGACGGTGACGTCCTCAGCGGCACCCACCACCAGCTCCTCCAGCCTATGGGGCGGCGGCAGTGGGTGTGGGGCGGGGAGGTGGGGTGCCCCGCACGAGGTGAGGCCACGGGGGAGACGTACCCTGGAAAGCCGAGGGCCACGCGCAGCTCGGGCACACACTGGTTGTCCTCACCACAGTTCTTCTCGAAGGGCAGCTGGGGGCCGGCGCACAGGCCTCCATCCCAGCCTCCCAGCGCACGCCCCGGCTGCATCCATTCTGCTCCATCCCCCACATCTCCGTCCTGTCTCTCCATGCGCCCCACGTTTCCAACCCAACTTTTACATCCATTCCATGTCTCCATCCCTCCCAATGTCCATCCTGAATTTCCATCCCTTCTCCACTCACCCCAACCATCTCCATTCCATCCATCCCATCGCCTCCATCCCCATCCATCCCTCTCCCCATACCAATTCCCACCCCACGTTCTCCACCCACCCCACGCACCCATCCCGTCCCTCCAATCCCATCCCATCCCTCCATCCATGCACCCCAAACTCCCACTGCAACCGTCTCCGTCCTGTCCCTCCCTCCCATCGCACCCTCTCCATCCCCATCCCACCTCCCCCCACCCCACGCTGCCATCCCATCCCATCCCACCCCACCCCATCCCATCCCTCCGTCCCACCTTCTCCAGGCGCCCACCGCAGCGCTCCGTCCCTCCCAACGTTTCCTGAACACTTCCCGACCCCCTCGCCCGCCCACCTCTCACCCCCCCGCTCTCCCTCCCCTCTCGCCCCCCGCCGTTCCCGTACCGCGGCGCTCACGGCCCACTGCGTGTCGCGGCTGAGCGCCACGCGCAGCCCCTGCTCGTGCTGCAGCGCGTCCCCGCGCGCCTCGAAGGCCACCCGCAGCCCCACGGGGCTCAGCGTGTCTGCCGGGCAGCCCTGGGGACCCACACACAGCGCCCGTGGCGGCGGCGGCCCCGCGCGGGGCAGCTCCGCGCCCCCGGCACCCGCGCCGCACGCACCGCCAGAGCGACGCCGAAGGTCCGGCAGCGGAGCCCCTCGGCCACGTGCGCGGTGCCGTTGGTCCTGGCGCCGCCCGGCACGAAGACGGCGCGCGCGGCGCGGCCGGGGTCCAAGTGCAGGCGGTAGCGGAGGGCGGCGCCGAGGGAGCCTGCGGGCGGCAGGACGCGGCGCTGCGTGGCTCCGCGGGGCGCTGTGGGGCCCGGCGGGTCGGGGGGCGTCGGGAGGGGTTGTTGGGGAGGGCCGATGGGACTCGAAGGGCGCCCGGAGGGGCTGGGGGTCCCGCGGGTAGCCGATGGGTGGGCGCCCGCCCACGGGGGTCCGTGCTCTCACCCAAGCTGTCACGGCTCTTCTTGGTGCCGACAAAGCAGACTTCGGCTGTGGTCACCACCGCGGCCCCGGCGGCGCTCAGCTCCTCCTCCTCTGCCCGGTGGCAGTCGAGGGCAGACGTCGGGATTTCCGGGGGACTGAAGGTCACCGTCACCTCAACCTTCAGCACAGGTGGGGACCTGCGGGGCGGCGGCGTGGAGGAGGGGAGAACGTGGGGTGGGGTGGGAAGGGGTTGGGGGTCGGGGTGGGGATGCGGACAGGTCGGGGTTGGGAATGGGAATGGAGATGGGGTGGGGGTGGGATGGGACGTGGCTGGTTGAGTTTGGGGATGGGGAGTTAGAGCTGGTGTTTGGCTGGGATTAGGGTCAGAGATGGCAATGTATGGGGCTAGGCCGTTTGAGCTGGGGATGGTATGGGGCTGGGACTGGCAATGGGGCTCCGGTGCGGCACTCCCACCTGAGCAGCAGCACCTGTCCCTGTGCGCCTACGGCCAAGTCCGGCAGTCTGTCCCCCGTCAGGTCGCGGCCCCCACTCAGCGCCTGCCCAAAGTGCTGCGGGGCGCTGCGGAACGAGGAGCCTGCAATGCGCTGTGGAGGACAGAACGCACGAGGGTGGGACCCGACCTCCAAGCGGCGGCTGTGCACTGTGGGGTCTGTGGGACCTGGGGGCTCTGAAGGGCCCTGCGGGGTCTTTGGGATCTATGGGACGCTGTGGGGTTCGGTGGCTCTCAGTGGGGTGGTCCCACCTGGCTGTAGTGGTCACTTATGCCACCCTTCTCCCCACAGAAGATGTAGACGGCGCCACGCTCGTCATCCTCCATGGGAGCACCCACGGCCACATCATGCAGCCCGTCGCCGTCGATGTCCCCAAGGCGAGCAACGCTGGCCCCAAAGCGCCCCAGTGGGTGTCCAGCCTGACCTCGCAGCATCCGGTGGCACCACAGCGCACGGCCCTACAGCAAGCAACACGTGGGGGGCACGGGGACAGGTGTGGGTCAAGGCTGGGACAGGAATGGGAATGGGATGGGATGAAGATAAGGGTGGGGATAGGGATGGGGGTAAGGATGGGATGGGTGAGGGGATAGGGATGGGGTGGGGTGGGGTGGGGTGGGATGGGATGGGATGGGTGAGGGGATAGGGATGGGGTGGGGTGGGATGGGATGGGATGGGGTGGCGTGGGGTTGTGTGGGGTGGGGTGAGGATGGGATGGGGAGGGATGGGGTAGGATGGGATGGGTGTGGGGATAGGGATGTGGTGGGATGGGGAGGGGTTTGGTGGGATGGGATGGGTGTGGGGATAGGGATGGGGATGGAGTTGGGATAGGGGTTGGACTGGGGTTGGTTTGCAGTAGACTTATTGACTAGCTGAGCACCACGGGGCCGTGCTGGGGGTCCGTACCTGTGGCAGCACCGTGCAGACCTCCACGCGTCCCCCGGTGCCGTCTCCATAGAACATGGGGACCCCCACCAGCAGTGCCACGCCATCCCCTGACCCCTCCAGGGCGCAGAGCGCTGCCCCAAAGTAGGAGCCCACCTGTGGGTGACAGTGTCAGCCTCGGGGCTCCTCCCGCCCCATGCCATGCCCCACACGTCCCCCCGCCATCACCTGCCGCCCCATGGCGTCAGAGCGCAGCTCCCACTTCCCCCCGCGGTGCAGCACGAAGAGGAGCAGGCGGCCCACGTGGCGATACCGGGGGGCACCCAGCACCAGCGCCCGGAGCCCCCCCAGGGACAGAGACTCAGTGGCGTAACCTGCGGGCAGGGGGGCGGCGGGTCAGACCCGTGGGGGGGGCGGCCCCGTAGCTCCTCGTGGGGTCATGGGGCATCCACAGCTCTGGGACCCCCACGGGATCGTTGCCGCACCCGAGACCCACACAGCGACAGCTCTGTCTCTATGGGGACCCCGTCATCTCCTGGACTGTCACAACGGCCCCAAGAGCCCCGTGAATGCCCTGAGACCCCCCCCAAAACTCCGTTATCCCCATGGGATCACCACCATCCCATCGCCCTCGTGAGAGCCCCGCTATCTCCATGACCCAAGTGGGAACAGCCACCGACCCCAAAACCCCCGTGGGTGGCCCACTGCCCCCTGATCATCAGGAGGACTCCAACATCCCCCTGGGGATGCCCTCCACCAAGAGACCCCCATGAGGGTGCCGAGACCCCCCCGCCAAACAGAGACCCCCCTGAGGAGCCCAGGACCCCAGGTCCTCACCCAGGTACGCATCGCTCGCGCCCCCGTCCCCTTCGGATGCGTTGACAAAGGCGACCTTCCCATCGGCGCCGTAGACGAAGGCCCCTCCGGCCCAATCATAGGCGCCCACTGCTCCCAGCACCGCCCCCTCCTGCAGCGGGGAGGGTGGGGAGGGGTTGGGGGGCTGAGTGGGGCGCGATGGGGCCCTGAGGATCTCAGGTGGGCTTGGGGGGGTCTGAAGGGGGTCGAGGGGTCCTGGGGAACTCTGGCGGGTTTGGGGGCATCCGGTGGGTCCCTGTGGGTCTACGGAGCTCTGAGGCGCTCCGCGGGCTCTATGGGGCTCTGCGGCGCCTCTGGGGCCGCGCGGGGTCGTGACGGGCTTCGGGTCTGCGCGGACGGGCGTGCGGCGCTGGGCTGGCGGTGGGGACACTCACGGGGGTGAGCAGAGCGCTGAAGCCCTCCTGGGCCATCTCCAGCTGGAAGGAGCTCCCGAAGGCCGGCCGGGTCCCTGGGGGCACGGTGGGGTGAGCTGGGCCCCGGCGCCCCACGGGGCCACGCCGCAGGGCCATACCTTCGATGGCGAAGATCTTGTCCTGCAGCTGCTCCTGGATGCCGCGCAGTGCCTCGAAGTTGTCCACACGGAAGACGTGCGCCTCGGGGGGGGGCGAGGCGATGGTCTGCAGCTCTGCCACCGCCTTGGGGTCCTTGAAGGCGCTGCCCACCTGCGGGGACGTCGCTCGCGGTGTCCCACCGCCCCGCCATCACCCGGCCGTCCCCGAGCTCTGGGTGTCCGGCTGCCCCTGCTGCTCCCCACGCCGCCGGTGCCTCGGAGCTCTGGGGCCCCAACCCTCTTGGCATCCCCACAACGTGACATCGCACTGGTGCCCCCCGTGCTCCTGGTGTCACCGCAGCGTGAGGTGCCCTCGCGTCCTGCGCCACCTCCGCGTCCCCATGGCCTCCATCTCACCTGGGTGTCCCCCAGAGCTCCCCGTGTCCCTGCTGTCCCCACGGTGCCCCCACGCTCCGGTGTCCCGGAACCTGCGCCCCTTCTCACTGCCCCACGTTCCTGGTGGCACCTCCATGCCCCGACCTCTCAGTGTCCCCAGTGTCGCGGTGTGGAGCCCCCGTCGCTCTCGGTGTCCCCCCAGTGTCCCTCGGGTGCCCCCACAGCTACTGGCGCCCCATAGAGCCCCCTACACCCACAGAGCCCCGTGGCGTCCCATAGTGCCCGCCGGACCCCACGGAGCCTCGTGATGCCCCGCAGAGCCCTGAGAGACTCAGAGAGCCCTATAGAGCCCCACGGTTCTTGGGAGGATTTGGGGGAATTTGGGGTTTGGCGTTGGGGTTTTCTGGGGGGAGGGACTTGGGTTATGATTTGGGGGCAGTTGGGAGGAATTTGGGGCTCGTTGTGATTTTTGGGGACGGTTTGGTGGCGAACTGGGGGGAATGTGGGTTTTGGGTGATGGGTTTGGGGGAAGGGGTTTGGGGGCAATGAGCGGAATTGGGGCCTTTGGGTGGGTGTGGGGTTATGGAGTGGGGCAGCTTTTGGTCAGGAGCTTTTGGTCAGGAGCTTTTGGTCAGGAGCTTTTGGTCAGGCTTCGGGGGGCAGCCGGGGAGAATTTGTGGGGAACTTGGGGGACGGGTCTGGATTTGGGGATTCGTTAGGGAGTTGTGGAGATGCATCGGGTGGATTTGGGATTCTTGGTTTTTCCGTGGGGGAATCGGCGCCTGGGGGCGAATTTGGGATTTGGGAGCTTTGGGGATTGGGTTTGGGGCGCGGGAGATGGATTTTGCGGTTTGAGGGCTTTGAGAGGCGGATTGCGGGAATTTGGGGCCTTTGGAGATGAATTCAGGATTTCGGGTTTTTGGGGGATGATTTGGGGAGAATTTGCAGGAATTTGGGCATTTTGGGCAAGGACTTCGAGGAGAACGCGGGCGTTCGGGGCGTTTTGAGGACGGATTGGGGCAGGATTTGGGGGCCCGCAGGGACGCGGGGCGAGGAGCTCTGCGCGCCGGCTCACCCCGATGGCGTAGCGGACGACCCCGGCGCGCTCGGCCTCCGGGATGACGTCGCCGTACTGCAGCGCGTCGCCGTACTTCTGCCCGTCCGTCACCACGATCAGCGCCTTGGAGGCCCCCGCGCGGCTCCCCGCCAACACCCGCGTCCTGCGCGCAGCGGCGTCAGCGCCGGGCGGAGGGGAGGGGAGGGGGGTTGGGGGGAGGGGGGTTGGGGGCAGGGGGACGCACAGCGCGACGCGGATGGCGGAGGCCGTTTGCGTGACGCCGCTGCGCTGCTCCACCGCCAGCAGCAGCCGCTCCAGGTGCTCCGCCGGCAGGCGGTCGAAGTCGGGGAAGCCCACGTGCACCTCCACGCCGGTGGAGAACTGCAGCACTGCGAACTGCGGGCCGCGGCCACGGCACCCATCGTACCGCGCGCGGCCCCCGCAGCGCCCCGCAGCCCAACTGGAGCCCACGTGGCCCCGCGGAACCCCGCACAGCTCCGCTCCCCTTGGCCTCCAATAACGCCCCGCAGAGCCCCACAGCATCCCACAGAAACCCACGGAGCCTCACAGGGCCCCACAGCGCCCCACAGAGCCCCGCACGTTACGCTAGGTGCCCCATATATTATGTGGAGCGACCACAGGTACCCATAAATTTCATGGGGCAGCTCCGGACACAGCGCGACGCCCCGCGAGGGATGTCAGGCAGCGCAGAGCTGAGTCTGGGCGCCCCATAGATCGTGTGGGGCACTGATACGATACGTTCCATGGGGCGCCCCAGAGATTCACTTGGGTAACCCAAGAATTCTATGGAGCGCCCCATAGATTCTGTGGGGCCCTGCTGCGGGGCAGCCCCACAGCAGCGAGTGTCACGCACGCGGGTGTTGGTCCCACGGAAGCGTTTGATGATTTCGATGACGAATGTCTTCATCCGCCAGAAGTCAAACGCTGCCACGCTGCCGGAGCCGTCCATCAGGAACACGATGTCGGAGGACGATGTGGGGCAAGCTGTGGGGCAGGCGGTGGGGCAGGCAGTGGGGTGCAGCAGTTTGGTGAGTCTCATCCAACCCGTCTCCACCCACAGATCCCACTGAACCCAACGCTGAGTCTTTGCCCCACAGATCCCAATGACAACAGCATTGGATCCTTTCTGCCTCGCGTGTGCCCCATAGATGCTATATCTGCCCCATAGATCTCACCAACAACGGCACTGTGTCTTCTCCGCCCCTCGTCCGCCCCACAGATCCCAGTGACAATGACATTAGGACTTCTGTGCCCCATCCTGGCCCCACAGAACCCACAGACGACGGCGCTGGGTGTTCTCCACCCCACAGAGACCCTCTGCCCCACCGCTGCCCCCCACGTGCCCCGTACCTCGCGGGGTGGTCGCTAGGGAGCCATCGAGGAAGCACAACCCCGGAACCTCCGCGTTCTCCCCACACATCCGCTGCGCCATCGGGCCACAGGCCTGCACCCCACAGCATCCCACAGAGATCCACAGTGACCCATAGCACTCCATAGAGCCCCACAGCACTCCAGAGAGCCCCACAGTTTCCCACAGAGCCCCCATAGCATCCCATAGAGCCCCAGAGAGATCCATAGTGCCCCACAGAGAACCGCAGTGACCCATAGCATCTCATAGAGACCAACAGCACCCCACGCAGACCCACAGTGACCCACAGAGACACACAAAGCCCCATAGAACCCATTGGGCTCAATAGACCCCCATAAACCCCATAGTGACCCACAATACCCCCACAGAGCTCCACAGCACCCATAGAGACCCACAGAACCCCACAGAACCCATAGAGCCCAGCAGACCCCAAACTCCATAGTGACCCATAGCACCCCCCAGAGACATAAAGCCTACAGAGCCTGACAGACACCATAGACCCGTGAGAGCCCCACAGCACCCCATAGCACCGACCAGGAGCTGGGATCCATTGGCAGCCATGGACATTCCCATTGCCATGGGACCCGTATCCAGGAGGCCTGTGGGGCAGGGAACCCCATAGCACCCACACTTGTGGAGCAGCTCCAAAACTTGCCAAAGGACTCGTGTGGGGCAGCACCACCCCACCCCCTGCCCCATAACCTCCCATTGGGACCCCCTCCGATCTGCCTGATATCTGCCCATAGGACTCATACATTGAGGCCACCCCACAACTTCCCACTCGGACCCATACATCAAGGCTGCCCCATAACATCCCATTAAGGTCCACATTTAGTACTGCCCCACAACTCCCTCAGGACTCACACATTTGGGGCTGCCCCACACATGTGAGGCTACCCCACAAACTCCCCATTCAGTTCCACATACTGTGGCTGCCCCACATCCCTCCCCCCTTCCCCGGCCCACCCCACAACTCCCCATGAGACACACATTTGAGGCAGCTGCACACCACCCCATGTGCCCCACATGTGTGGGGCTGCCCCATAGCTCTCACCACCAACATCTGCATCCCTGCAACTCTTCTCCCCCACACGGCATCGATAGACACGGCCTCGGCCCCCCAAGTCCAGGGGAGCCCCAACCAGCACCCTGTGATGGGGGGATGTGGGGCTCAGTTGGGTGCTCCATAGATCCCATTGGGTGACCCACAGATTCACTTAGATACCCCTTCAATTCTATGGGGCACCACACAGATTACACTGGGTCCCCACAGACTATGTGGGGCAGTCATAGAGTCAGCAGGGAGCCCCCTAGGATATATGGGGCGCTCCATAGGTTCCATGGGGCACCACTAAATTCAGTGGGGCACCGCATAGATTAAACAGACCACCCTACAGATTCAGTGGTGTGTCCCACAGATTCCGTGGGGCAGCCCTAGATTACTTGGGGGGATAGATGGATTCAGTAGGGTAACCACAGATTCCCATAGGGTGCCCCATCGATTCTGTGGGGCAGTCACAGAGTCAGTAGGGAGCCCATAGGTTATGTGGGGCACCCCATGGATTCACATAGGTACCCCATAGATTATGTGGGCTGCCCTATAGGTCACACTGGCCACCCTATAGCTTCCATGGGGCACTGCACAGACTGTGGGGCATCTCAAAATTCAGTGGGGCACCACACAGATTCTCCAGAGCATCCCACAGGTTACGTAGAGCGCCGCACAGCTTCTGTAAGTCACCCTCTAAGTTCCATGGGGTGCCTCATAGATTTCTATGGGGTGCCCTACAGATACCACAGTGGGCTCCCATTTGCCCCATGAGCCACCCAATACATTCCACGAGCCACTCCAAATACTCTATGGGGCACCCCATGTATTCTGTGGGTTGCCCCACGGAATCCTGGGGAGGCCCCACAAGCTGTGGGGCAGCTCCATACCCGTCGTCGCTCTGTGCCACACTGAGGCCGAAGGAACCAGGACCCTCAAAGGCCACAGCAGAGTCCAAGTCGAGGGCAGAGCTGCAGCTGTGGGGCAGAGCTGTGGGGCAGGGGACACCCATGGGGATCCATACAGCCCATAGCCTCCACAGAGTCCACATTGCCCCATAGAGCTCTGTAGACCCCACAGAGCCCCACAGAGCCCCACAGAGCCCCATTAAGTCCCAAAGGATCCCACAGAGCCTCATAGAACTCACAGAATCCCATAGAGCCCCACAGATCCCACAAAGCCACACAGGCACCCCATGTTCCCCGTTGTCCCTCTGTCCCCATATGTCCCCATGTCCTCCCCCATCCCTGTGTCCTCCATGTCCCTCCACCCCTCCATGTCCCCATGTGCCCCCGCATCCTCAAGTCCCCTGTATGTCCACACGTCCCCAATGTGCCCCCCATGTCCCCCGGTTTTCCCCATCCCAATATATCCCCCTTCATCACCCCACATCCCAATATCACCCCTCCTCACCCGACCCCCCACATTCCCATATTGCTCCTCATGACCCTGTATCTCCACTGACCTCCAATGTCCCCCCATGTCCCCACATCCCTCCACTGTCACACCACCCCCCCATTTCTCCCCACATCCCCATGCTCCCCCCCATCCCCTCGCGCCCCATCCCAACGTGTCCCCGGTGGCCCCAAAAGCACCGCATTTGGCCCCAGACCTGCGCCGAGCAGCAGCAGCACCCACAGCCCCATGGTGGGGAGCAGGAAGGTCTGCCCCACACCCACAGCCCACGCGCGGCCGTGGGGGGCGGAAGTGGGGAGAAGGGGCGGGGAAGGGCCGAGAGAGCCAAAAAAGGGCAAAAGCCAAACGGGTCTGCTCCGGAACTCTGCCCCACAGCCGCCCCATAACTGCCCCACAGCTGCCCCATAGTTGTCCCGCTGCGCTGCCCTGCATCCCCAGTCCTGCAGCCCGTGTCCCCACACCCCCAGTTCCCCCGATGTCCCCAGTGTCCCCACGGGCAAAGATGACCAGAAGTGACAGAAATGGCACCGACCGGAGAGTGGTGCTCAGAAACGGGCAGGAATGGGGATGGAGCCAAAGGGCAAAAACTGGTGGGACCGGAGCAGGATGGAGAGAGTGGGGCAGAGCAGCGCCAGGGGGCTCTGGGACCCCCCGCATCCCCCTGAGCTCAGAGCCCTGCTGCCCCAAAGGGTTGGGGGGTCCCGGGTCGGGGCTGGGGGGAAAAGGGGCAGAACTGGGTAAAGAGGGAAAGGAATGGAAGGAAATGGGGAGAAAAAGGGGAAATGGAAAGAAATGGGGAGGAGGGGGAACTGTGATGGGGGGAACGGGCAAGGAAAGACCTGAAAGGGTGGAAATGGGGAAAAAGGGGAAACGTGCAGAAATGGGGAAAGAGGGATGGAATGGACAGAGGGGGGAGGAGGCAGAAATGAGCAAAAAAAAGAGGGGAATGACAAAAAAGAGAAGAAATGGGCAAAAAGGAGCAGGAATTGTCAGAATGGGAGGGAACTGGATTGGGCAGAGGTGTGGAAAGAAATGGAAGAACATTGAGAGAAATGGTCCAAAACAGAGGCACTGAATGGGAGACGTGGAACTCTGGGGAACGGGCAGCAGGAAATGGGCAGAAATGGGCAGAAATGGGCAGAAATCATGGGCAGCAAAGTGTGAAATGGGAGCGGAATGGGCGAGGAACAGAAGCCGAAATGGGCAGAATGGGGAAGGAACTGGGAAGAAATGGCTGAACGTGAGAGAGCCGCCCAGCTGTGGCACTGCAGCGCTGCCCCACAGCTGCCCCACAGCTGCCCCACAGCTGCCCCACAGCTGCCCCATGACTCCACTGCCCCCCAGGACCTCTCCATGTCTCCATGTCCCCACATCCCCACGCTCCCCCATCCCGGGCTCCCCCCCATCCCCCCGCGCCCCATCCTGACACTTCCCCAGCGGTCCCAATGTCTCTGTGGGGTTGGAGGGCTGTGGGGCAGCAGAGCCCGGGGGTGTCTGTGGGCCTAAGGTGCCGCCGCCAGAGGGAAAACGGGGGTTGGGGATTGGGGGCACTTTGGGGTTCTCCCCCATCTGTCCCTCAGACCTTCGGACTCCCCCCTGCCGGGGTCTCTCCCTCCACACCCCCCGCCCCCCCCAGCCCCAAAAGCACCGCATTTGGCCCCAGACCTGCGCCGAGCAGCAGCAGCACCCACAGCCCCATGGTGGGGAGCAGGAAGGTCTGCCCCACACCCACAGCCCACGCGCGGCCGTGGGGGGCGGAAGTGGGGAGAGGGGGCGGGGAAGGGCCGAGAGAGCCAAAAAAGGGCAAAAGCCAAACGGGTCTGCTCCGGAACTCTGCCCCACAGCCGCCCCATAACTGCCCCGCAGCTGCCCCATAGCTGTCCCGCTGCGCTGCCCCGTAGCTCTGCCCCACAGCTGCCCCGTAGCTGCCGCACAGCGCTGCCCCACGTCCTCAGTTCCCCGAGTGTCCCCGGCGTCCCCGTGGGCAGAAGTTGTCCAAAAGAGGCAGAAATGGCCCAAAGCAGAGGCACTCGGTAACGAAGCGCCCCTTCGAGGCGGAGTGGCGGCCGACCCGACGGGAGCGGAACGGAGTGAACGGGGCGCAGCAGCGCTGGGGTCTCTGGGACCCCCGGGACCGCCGCGCAGCCAGAGAGCGCGCAGCCCCGGCCGTTCGGGGGGGGTCAAGGCCGCCGGGCGTCCCGGGCCGGATGCGGGGCTCTGCGGGGCTCCACGGGGCTCTGCGACCGCCGCTCGGGGGCGCAGGGGCTGCGAGGGGAGCGCCCACACGTGCGGTGCGGAACCCCCCCGGGGCTCCTCCCCCGTCCTCAGCGCCCGCCTGCAGCGCCGGGGGGGCACGAACTGCCCCGCACCGCCCCGCACCGCTCCGCACCACCGCCGCTTGGGCTGCGGGGCGGTTTCGCTTCCCACGGATGTGGGGCGGCCCCCCGGCGCTGCGGCAGCTTCCCCAATTGCTCGGGGGGGGAGGGGAGGGGGGCGCGGGGCTGAGCGCCGCTTAGAGGGACCGCGGCGGCAGCGCGAGGGGAGCGGAGCCCGGCCGGAACCCGCGACCCACCCCTACCCCCCGCCGGGCGCTGCCTCCGACCCCCCCCCCAGACACCCGCCGACATCCGCATCCCGAACGGATCGCACCGCCCCTGAGCGGGGGGAATTGAAGGGAAATCGGGAAAAGGGGAAGGGAGGGGAAGGAGGAAACGATGGAAAAGGAGGTGAGACGGAATGCCGAGAAACGGGAAAATGGGACAAAAAGAGGAAGTGGGGAGTGGGAAAGTGGGAAAACGGAGTGGGGCTGAAGGAGGGGAAATGGGAAAGGGCGGGAAGTGGGGGGATATAAAGGGAAAAGGGCATAAAGGGAAAAGATGCAGAGGAAAGGAAAGGGAAAGTGGGAACGTGAATGGAGGAGAGAAAAGAAAGCAAAGGGAGTGGAAAAATGAGACGGGAAAATGGGGGGAAACGGGAGAAAGGGGAAAGCGGGGAAATGGGAAAAAAACAGAAATGGGTTCATGGGGAGAAATTGGGAACGAGAGGAAAAGCAGCGCGGAGAGAAACGGGGGGGGGGAAGAGGGGAAAAGAGAAAATGGCAAATGGGGAAATAATGGGGGAATGGGAAAGCATTTGGAAATGAATGAAGGCGATGGAAAGGGGGGGAAGGGGGAGCGGATAAATGGGGGGGGGCGGGGGGGGGTGAAACGGCGCTCGGCAGCTGAAATGGCCGGGAACCGTGGGAACGGCTGGGAGGGCGGGACATCGCGGACAGACAGACGGACAGCTCGGGGCGCTCAGCGGGGATGGGACGGGACGCACGGATGGACAGATGGAGCCCCGCCAGGCGGCGCTGAGCTGAGCCCGACCCGCAGCGGCCGGGGGGCAGGCGGGGGGGGGGGGGGGGGAGCGGCGCGGGCAGCGCTCGGTGCGGGAAACGTCGGAACGTCGGCAGCCGAAACGTCGGCGGGAAACGCGGGAGAACGAATGCGGAGAGCGGGGCGTAACGGTGCCGGCGTGCGGCCACACGTGCGTCCAACACCGCCGTCCGCCCTGGAGCGGAGCGCGGCGGTTTCCTATTTTCTGAGCCGGGTTTCTTCCTAAACGCGGCTGCGGTGCAGCGGAGGTGGGGAAGGAGCGCGGAGGGGCGGACGCTCCCGTACCCACCGGAACGCACAGAACGGCCGTAAGCGCAGCGGCCGCGGTGGAGCCCATAGGAGAAAGTGGGCTGCGGGTGCAGGCGCGCGGTGCCGCGATGTCGCGATGTCCGCCCCCGTTCGGGCGAAGCGCTCCGGCACTGAGGAACAACGGCTGCGCCGCCGCACCTCGGCCCGGCCGGAGCGCCCCAGGGACACGGCGGCAGGGCGAGCGGCCCCGCGCATCGACGGACCGCCAGGAGCCGCGAGCGGCAGCGAAGGGATCGCGGCGTCAGCAATGACAGCAGCAGCGCCGGGGAGAGAAGGGGCCGGGACGAAACCCGGGGGCCGTTCGGGAAGCGGCGCCGTTGGGCCGCGGCAGGCGCTGCAGGGATTCCGTTCTGCCGGGGATGACCGAGCTCCTCCGGCAGCGAGCTTCCAGCTCCGCCGCGAGGGTTTCGCAGAGTCGCCGCGGCGGGGGGGGGCCGACGTCGGCGCGGACGGAGCGCGACCCGGGAGCGCCGCGTGCAGGAGGAGCGGACCGTCGGTAACCCGGCCCGATGCCGTGCGGCGACCGCGAGGAAGCGGGAGGAGCTGCGACCGTGCGCTGACCGCGGCGTCAGCGGCTCAGCGGGACGCGGCGGCTGCGGCCCGCGGTGTGGAACGGGAGCGGAGGAACGCGTTTGGGGCCACGAACCCCTTAACCGGCGGCCGGCTGCGGTCCGTGGGGCTGCAGTGACCACGAACGGCAGGGTACAAAATCCTCGGGGCGTCGCGGAGCACGGCAAGGGGCTGCTCTGAGCTTCAGGAGAGCAAAAGTGGAACTTGTCAGGGCACCGCTTGGCAGGGAGGCGTGGGAGAAAGCACGGGAGGGGGCCCAAGAAAGCTGGTTGGTATTCAAGGCCCATCTCCTCCGAGGCCAGAAGCCGTGCATCCCCAGGAAGAGGAATGCAGGCAAGGGTACCGGCAGGCTTCCGTGGATCAACGAGGAGCTCCTGGACTTCCACTCAAAGAGGAGGTCTGTGGGGGTGGAAGCAGGAACAGCATTACCTGGGGGGCTGCAAAGGAGCTGCCAAAGCAGTCAAGGATTGGGCTCGGAAAGCCAAAACCCAAACAATTAAATCTAGCCAGGGACATCAAGGGGAACAAGAAATTCTTGAACAAGAAATTCTTGTAACCAAGGTGGATCTGTGATAAAAGGTGATAGTGATAGGACCAGAGGGAATGGTTTCAAGCTACGGCAGGGGAGATTCAGGCTGGACATGAGGAAGTATTACTGTTCAGAAAGGGTGGTCAGGCAGTGGAATGGATGCCCAGGGAGGTGGTGGAGTCACCGACCCTGGGGGTGTTCAAGGAAAGGCTGGATGTTGTGTTGAGGGACGTGGTTCAGTGGGAGCTGTTGGCAATAGGTGAACGGTTGAACTGGATGAGCTTTTAGGTCTTTTCCAACCTTGGTGATTCTATGATTCTAAAAGGAAGGCCAGGGAGGATGTGGGCCCTGTCCTGAAGGAAACAAGCCCTGGTCATGAGGGATGTGGCCGAGGTGCTCCATGACTTCTTTGCCTCAGCCTTCACTGCCCAGGGCTCAGTGCCACGCTGCCCAAGCTGCAGAAAGCAATGGTAAGAACTGGGAGAAGGCAGAGCTGCTGCAAGCGAAGATGGGGTTTGCATAATCAATAAATACACACAGTTGTTATAATTAAGAAATATACAGGAAAGCTAAGCTCAACAGGTAATCACACCAAAGAAGAATGGATGGAAAGC